GTATCTCATTGAGGTTTGAATTTGCATTTTCCTAGTGAGTGGTGAGCATCTTTTCATGTGCATTGTGTATTTTCCTTGGAGAAATGTCTGTTCACATACTTTGCCCATTTGCTAATTGGGTTGTCTTTTTATGATCGAGTTGTAAGCGTTCTTTATGTATGCTGGATACAAGTCCCTTTTTAGATATATGATTTGTAAATATTTTTCACCCAGTCTGTGGGTTTTCTTTTCACTTTCTTGGTGGTCCACTTTAAAATGAAAGTTTTTAATTTCAATTAACTCCAACTTATTTGTCTTCTCTTTTATCCCTTGTGCTTTTGGTGTCATATTTAAGAACTTATTGCCTAGTCCTAGATCACAAAGGCTTACTCCTGTATTCTCTTCAAAGATTTTTATTGTTTTAGCTCTTACATTTAACCTATGATCCATTTTGAGTTAATTTTTGTGTGTGGTGTAAGGCTGGGCTCCAACTTCATTCTTTTGTGTGTGAATATCCAGTTGTCTAAGCACCATTTGTTCAAAGACTATTTTCCCCCATTGAATTGTCTTGGGCCTTTTGTCAAAAATTAATTGACCATAAATGTTAGAGTTTATTTCTGGACTGTCAATTCTATCCCATTAATCTAGGTGTCTGTCCTATACTGTTTCAATTATTGTAGTTTTGTAGTAAATTTTGACACTGACAAGTCTGTACCTGCTGAAAGAAAGTGAGCTGAGATGCTGGGTACTGATCAAGCTTTATTAAAGGAAAAGAATCTGCCAGGATGCACTCCAAGTGGTGGGCAGCCCGGGGCTGCCCTCAAAATGCAGGACAGCACCAGATGTGGGGGGTGAGAGAGCTTATATAGGGTGCCAAAGGCTGGCTGTTACAATCAAGGAGGGACATCATGCTAATGTGGAAGCTATGCGACCAGGGTGGAGGTCTGCGCCCTTGTGGCAGCGAAAGGGTTTCTGTTTTGCAGAAGTCATGAGGCTTCTCATAAAGGGAAGGGGGGAGGGGTTTGGTGCTGGAGTGGAAGACAAGGCTGGTGGCTATTTTGTGCTTATTGTGTGCACGTGGTGCCGGTCATGTCCAAGATCCATCATTCCTGCCTTTTAAGTATAGGGAGAAGGGAAAAGGGGTGAAGATCTCATTCTTCTGAAGCTACTTCCTGCTAGATATGGGCAAAGGTATGGAAAAAATAAGAGTTATGTTGGCAGGTAAAACAATTAGGTGTTAGGGTATTGGTTTCGTGTTGGGAGGCTGCATTCTTCTGGGGAAGGGTTGCTGATTCTGAGGGGCTGATATCCTCCTTGCAGTTCTGTGACCTTTTGGTTGGTGAAAGCCTGCATTTATTCCTGTGAGAAACTAGAGAAACACCAAAAGAGACAGGGACCAAAAAGTAGGATGAGTCCCAGCACAGTTAGGGGTCCTAGAAGGGGCATAAGCCAGGGTATTCAAGGGTTCAGTGACTGGGGCCACCCCCAAGGTGTGTTTGTGTTTTGTAACCCTTTGTGTCCGCAATCAGTGCTTGCCTTTAAATGGCTTAAGTTGTTTTGGATCACCCCGGACTCATTTATGTAATAACAGCATTCATCCCCCAAGAAGAGGCAGGTGCCTCCCTTCTCGGCTGTAAGGAAGTAAAGGGCCCAACGGTTCTGTAAAGCAACTGTCGTGAGTGAGGTGACCTGTCCCTGGAGGGAGGAGATGCTGTCTATGCTTAGTTCTTCTGAGAGTTTTTGATAGAATTGAGAGGCAGTAGCAAGGCCCACTATGCCAGTCCCAGTTACAGGAAGGATCTCTGCCCCAATTAAAAGGTACAATTAGTGCCCTATAGGAGCAGGGGCACTTCCTGAGAGGGGGGTTCAAAGTTAGTCCCAGTCCCGTCTCCATCTCTCCATCTGTCTGGATGGTGATGT